TTTAATATTATATGTGTGAAAATAAAAATTATAACAAATTAATATTAAATCTAAACTATCTAAAATATATTTAGATAATCAATTTATAAAAATTATATAAAATTTTAATATTAAATTGAATTGTCTAGAATATATCTATACTGTTAAAAATATATATGGATAATCAATTTACAAAAGCTATAAAAAATTATATTAAGTTAGATCATTCATATTAAATCTGTATTAATAAAATTGGTGATAAATATATTTATTAAAAATTTGATTGTTTTATACATTTTTATTTTAATAAATATAAAATAAAAATAAAAACTAAAATCTTGATCGCCCAAATACCAAAAGGGTGAAGGAAGTCCTTATTTAATATTAAATTATAAAATAATTTTTATTTTCACATGTATAATATTTAAAATATTTAAAAATTAATTTAAATTCAACAAGAATGATTGTTTTGATATGAAATGAAGGGTCAGGATCACCTATTTGTATGATGAGCACAGAATGATGATCTATTAAATAAGGGTAAAATATGGAAATAGTGAGTAATTTTAAAGACAATTAACTAACTTATTGGAGGTATAATTTAATTAAAAGTATTTTATAATATTAAATGAAGAGAGTAATTTTTTTTTATTACAAGGCCACGGCAAAGCCGTGCAGGAGACTATAATCTAATCATATCTAAAACCATGAGGTTAGTACAGTTAATTGGAGGAACATCAAAAATGGTAGCTTCGAAAGTGTCGTGTGTCGATCGGTGGGCCAAGAGATCCGTAGATCTATTGGCTTTTTTGTAGACATGGTCAAAGGTAACAACCCAGTCTCTCATAGTGAGTTCCTTGATCTTTCTAATAACGCCAGATAATAGGTGATTTCCAGAGCACGTGCTGTTAATGATTGATAGAGCTTCCATCGAGTTCGTGTGGACATTAACTTTGTTTAATTTCATATTCCAGCAGAGGTTGAGACCTGCAAGAATTCCCATAAGTTTAGCTGAAGTGCTTGGTTGATATCCAAGGAATTTGGAGAATCCTTTAATCCAATGTCCTTTGTCATCTTTGATGATGCCACCACAAGCTGTAACTCCATTGATGTTGACTGAGCCTTCAGTGTCGAGTCTAACCCAATCATGTTTCGGTGGGCTCCATTTGACTTCACTAGCAATATCATTCCTATTCAAGCAGAGGGTTTTGCACAGAAGCCTTAAGTCATTATTAATTTGTTGGGTGCTAGAGAAGGCAATGTCATTGTCTGCAGTATCATCTTCAAAGTATAACTTCTTGCATTTATTCTTCCAGATATTCCAGCAAGCTTGAGCAAAAAGTCTTTGCCATGGCGTTCTTCTTGTTTTTAAGCTACCTACTTCAACTTTTTATTCCAGACTATCCAATCCTGCACATTAAGTGAGAAGAATGTGTTAATTTTAGTATGCTTAACTAATTTTGTCTACACCTCTTTAGCTTCTTCACAGTCATGTAGAATATGAATAGAAGAGTCAGGAGAGTTACAACCAAAAGGACAGGTACGTTGCTGGCCAGTATTTCCAAGTGTATACACTAGGTTGAGTTGGAGATGATTTAAGGCAGCCTTCCAAAGAAAGAATCTTATTTTATCATATGTAGGCCATTTTCAAATCTTAGACCATAAGTTAGAGTGTTGCTGCTCCTTGTGTGACTCCATAGCTTTATAAGTAGATTTGATGGAGAAGTTGCCATCAGAGGAAGGCCTCCAAAAAAGGACATCTTCTTCATCATGTCGATTAGGAGGTTGCACAAGAGATATACTTTTGATCACATCAGAATGGAGATAGTGGCTCAATAGATCAAAATTCCATCCTCTTGTATTTTTGAAAAAATCAGAGACCTTAGGATGTAGAATAGGATCAGTATTAGGAAATGCATGCTTAACAAGAGGCTCAGGGAGAGGAGACCATTTGTCATACCAAAAGAATATTTGATTTCCTTTTCCAATTTTCCAACCTATATGGAGCATGAATTTATCCCAGACTTTGCAAATGCTACTCCATGTATAAGAACAGTTGTCCAGTCTGAAAACCATGGGAATTTTGGGTTTATCACATTTGTATTTATCACGCAAAATTCGAACCTAGAGACAATTAGGCTTATTGATTAAGCCCCAACAAAGCTTCATGATGAAAGCAATGTTTTGATTCTTCAGTTTTTTAAGGCCAAGTCATCCTTCTTTTTTATCCATAATAATTCTATCCCAAGATAAGAGGTGAGATTTTTTATTCCCATCAATCGAATCCCAAAGAAAGTTTCTGGAGATTTTTTCTAGTTCTGACAAAACATTATCTGATAAGAGCATAGTCTACATAATGTAACTAGGAAGAGCTGAAAGAACTAATTTGATAAGTACAGATTTCCCTGCCATGTTCAGATATCTACTCCTCCAATTTGCTAAGAGAGAGTTCGTCTTATCAAGAAGAGGGGCAAAAGTGACTTTAGACACCTTTGCATGAATAATAGGAATTCTAAGATATTTTTCAAGATTGCTAGAGAGAGGAATCCCTAGTTCACCACTAATTTGTGTGGCTTTGTTGATATTGACATTTTTTGAACAGAAGAGCTTTGATTTTTCTGAGTTTATGCTCTGTCCAGAGGTGCTGCAGAAATTGAAAAGGTATTGTTGGATGATAACAGCTTGAGTAAGAGAACATTCTATAAAAAGCAGAAGATTATCAGCAAAAAATAAATGAGAAATAGGGGGATCATTTGTAGTTAATCTAATAGGTCTCCATTCATTTTTTTTTCAATACTAATATTAATACAGTGGTTTAAACGTTCAATACAAAGGACAAATAGATAAGGAGAAATAGGGTCCCCCTGACGGATGCCACGAGTAGGTGTAAACTCTTTAGTAGGTTGTCCATTCCAAAGAATCTGCATGTGGGTTGTAGAGATGGTAGCTTGAATCAAATTTCTGAAGTATCTATTTATACCAATAGATTCGAGAGTATCATTGATGAATTTTCAAGACAATCTATCAAAGGCCTTTTCAAGATCAATCTTAAGTGCCATGAAACCCTTTTTACCCATTTTGTTTCCTATGGTATAGATGACTTCTTGAGCAATAATGATGTTGTCACTGCTTTGATGCCCTTGTATGAAACTGCATTGGTTATCACAAATAAGATGATTCATACAGGCACGTAGACGATTAGAGAGGATTTTAGTGATAATCTTATAGCTCACATTACAAAGAGAAATGGGACGAAAGTCTTTCATAGAGGTGGGATGGTCAATCTTAGGAATAAGAGCGAGGAAAGTGTCATTAACCATCCTAATGGAATCAGGATCCTTGAAGACCTTTTTGACAAGCTGAATAATACTATGCTTCAGATCTTCCCAGTAAGTATGGATGAATCTAGCATTAATACCATCAGGCTCTGGGGCTTTAAAAGGCCCAATCTCAAAGGTAGCATTCTTATTTCTTCATCCGTCACTTCTCTATGAAGAGCTTGAAGTTGAATGGAAGATAGGGCAGGAAAGCTTTTTAAAAAAAATCTTGGGTTTATCATCAATGTTATCTCTGTAGAGATTTTCAAAATAGGTGACTGCCATATTTTCCAGACCATTCTGATCCTAGATCCAAGTATCATCCTCAGCTTTAAGAGAAAGAATTTGATTCCTTTTTCTTCTAATAACAGATATAGCATGGAAGAATTTGGTGTTTTGATCTCCCCATTTTAGCCATTTACATCTAGATTTTTGAAACTAACTCATTTCTTCTTGCAAGAGGACCTGATTGTAATCTTCCCAAAGAGATTTTTCCAATTTCTTGAGAAAGTAACTGTCACTTTGGTTCCTACACCTATCAATTCCTTCCAGCCGACGTAAAATCCTTTTCTTTTTAATGGATATATTACCAATTTTATCCTTATTTCAAAGGGGAGCAGATGTGGTAAATTTTCAAACCCCTTTTATCCAATCATTAGTGCCCCAAGAATCTTTGACCAAAGGGTGAATAGAATCTTCAAGAGACCAAGCAACATGGCATCTAAAGGGAATATTCTGGCGCTCCTAATAGTCCTTCCTTGTAAGCTGGACTCTAATTGGGTGATGGTCAAAGCCATATTTGAGAAGATGATAGGAATCTGCCTGGTGAAAATTGAGTCTCCAATTTGTATTACAAAAAGCCCAATCCAATCGTTCTTTTATTTTTTTTTTTCCCAATTAAATCTATCTCCATGGAAATTTAATTTAAAAAAATTGAAAGAATTTATGCACTGCCTGAACTGCTTCATGGATTTCCAATGAAGAGAGTAATTTTAATTGAAGTCAAGAGATAAATAACTTTCTCTGCTAGCAACTGAGCCCTTTTTTTAAAAAAAAATAAATATAGCAGATAATACAACTTTTATTTTTGTCTCAATTTCACACCTTAATGTTTTGTAAACTAATTTAAATAGTCATTAATTTTATAAGAGAAATTAATATCATTAAATTATGCTGACATAGTTAACAAAATGATGATGTGGCAGTCATGTAGATAAATAATATGGGAAGTAAAAATGTTGACTTGGACAAGGAAAAAAATGCTACATATTCAAGAAAAAAAGCTACGTAGATTAAGTTAGGAATTATAAAAGACTAAAATCAATAACATTTCATCAATTATAATTAGAAGATTGGGTTTATGTATATTAATTAATTAATCCATATGTATATTCAACATTAACAACCTAATTTGCACGTTAGCTTTTTTGAAAGCTAATTTATCTTGCAAAACTTGGAAGAGTAACTTAATATCTAAAGCAAAGAATAATGCCTACAATAATAAAAACTAGGTTTCAGACCAAATTAATAACTCTCAAGGTAAAGGACTAAAAGTTGCTTTTATCCCTTTTACAACTCCAGTAATAAGGGTGAAATAGGAAACAAAATATATTTCCTTAGAAGATTAAGGATAAAACTGACCTTATTTAAAATGCTTCACTTGATTTAAAATGAGTGGCGCTTAGGATCAGGTGGAAAGAAGTGTAAAGAGAAACACAACGCAAGTGGAAAACCTTTATTCCCAACACAAGAATTTTTACATTATTGTCACTCAATCACCATCAACAAATTCAGCACCAACAGGATGGCTTCATAATAACAGAAATTCAAAATTTTCACTGAATGCAAAGGAAGCGATGGTATGCAGGATGAGGAAATATATTATAAACCCAGAAACTGCATGCACAACAAAAGCTAAACTACAATTCTACAACACTGTTGAAACTCATTCACAAGCAAGATCTCAAGACATATCAAGAAACTGTCACAGATCATGATGGGATCTGGTAGTATCTGATTGAGCATGAGATCCAGCATTTGAGTTTTGTGAGGAAAATAAGTTGGGGTACGAGAAATATGGGTCCTCATCCATTGAAGGTAATCTCTTAGGCCGGTGGCCAGATGTTTTGTCTTCTGGTACATATTCACTGGGCAGAGAAGAATCAAAATCTGGCTTTAGTGTGTCAAATGAAGTAAATGTCGATGAATCAGAGCCAGGGGTGGCAGTGTGAAGATAGTGGGGCTCATAATTACTTGCGCCATTATCGTTGTATACATCTGCAGCTATTTGCTCAGTAAAATTCCCAGTTTCTGTTGTTCCAGACTTGTTTATATCATTACCTGTATAAAATGGGTTCTCAGAACTACTGTCCGCACTACTTTTCTTGGTAAGCTCATTAATGCGAATTTGTGCAAGAGTAGCGGCTGAGCGAGCTGCAGCTGCAGCACGTTCAGCAGTTTCAGCAGCGGTGTGAGCAGCAACCAACACATCATTCAAGTCAACATCAGCCTCAGTTTTGGTCTTTGAAAGGGAGGGCGGTGAATCGCTATGCCTCGCAGAAAATGATCCAGACGATATTGGAGGGGAGATGAAAGGCACAAACTGTTTCTTTTCCATATTACCAGGTAAGTCATGGGGCTCACCTTTATCAGCCACTGATTTTTCTTCTACATGTTCTGACTTCATATCTGAAGAACCTCCATAACTGCTTGATGAGTGAAGCCCAGCTTCACGGGGTGGAATAGATGGAGAGGATGCAACCATTTCTGGAGCAGTGGCAACATTCACACTTGATCTCACCGATACTTTAGGAACTTCAGGAAATTCTAATGTGTCAGAACCAGAATCAGAATCAGGTTCTTCTCTGTTAAGTTGATCAGGAGCAGAATACAATGCTTCGTTGTGTTTTTCATCAGGAAGGGGCACTTTAGATCCACTAAAGAATTGTGCTGGGCCATTCTGAAAAAGCGAGCATGTGTAAAGATCATAACAGGATGAAAAGAAAAATAAACACATTCTTGTTAGTCATTAGTGCCTAATAGTTACCAGTAAGTCTTCATGTTTCTTTAAGAACTCAGCTTCTGAAGCAGTTGGATCCCAGTCTACGTCATGCTCAACAGCAATTTCTTTTAGAAGTGTCAGTTTCTTTTCTGGTGAAGGAGCACGAATTGACAGCAGCTCTATTAACTGCAATTGCAAATTGGACAAATAATGTCAAAAAAATAGCAAAAAAAAAAACCCTAAAAAAATATCATTTATCATTGCCAATGAGTCCATAGATGATGTAAAATCATAAAACCTGACGATTAACACCACAATCTGGCATGAGCTCAGTTGCTGCTGACACAAATTCCTTCCCATATTTGGCAGCAAATGACATTTGAACCTGTAACAACTCTGGCAGGTCGGCACATCTTGGCGCAGCAAAACATATACTAGATATTGCTTCCTTTAAATCTAGAGGACATTCTCTGAATAACGTTGAAGGTTAGGATATATACAATTAAAGAATATCAATGGGCTCTTCACAATATAAGTGCACAGATATTTTTAGCATTAGTATGACTCAGATTTTGTAAACTACTTCATTACTAAATTAGCCAACAAAAGAAGGGTTTAATTGCTAAAGCAAAAGAAGCTTTCTGCAAATGTTAGCCAATGATTTTATTAAATCATCACACTAGCACATGATTTAAGCCGTGACAGTTATAACAAGGAAAAGTACACAGATCTGAAAAAAATGATGACCAGAGCCCACAGGGATCTTGCCCCAACAAACCCTATTTATGTGTTAATGTGATCCCAAACATAAAATTGACCGAAGTCCAAAACTACTGCTCCCTCCATCCCAAAATGTAAGCCACCTTTACCTACTTTAAACAAAACAATAAGTTTGTTGAAGTTAGTTAGACATATCTTGAATTTTTTAAAAATTACCTAAACTTTCCAAAATTACTCTTATTAAATTGTAATCTCATATTAACGATATCTCTCTTAGAGGTAAATTTTAGGAAAAGAACATTTAATGTTCACTACATTCTTTTAGCATGTGACTTACATTTTGGGACAGAGGGAGTAGCACAAACTCTAAGGAAGCAAACTAAACCATTTCACTTAATATTACATTGCCAATATGAGGATGCAGGAGCCTAAGTACTTTTCACATGATGCAGTACCCTAGGAACAGATATCAAAATAGATTCCATTTTCAATTTGGTAGAATTAAATCAATATCGATATTATATTCAAATGCACAAACATTCTATCTCAAGTGATAGACATAACTCATATAACAACATTAAGCTCCCGTTCCATGAGCAACCTGCTTTAGGTAACATTAAGTATTATTCCAATAAAGATGTAGATAATATTCATTCAACATTAGTATCAACATGTTTCTTCATGTATTATATCCCTTTTGCTAGTTTACTTCCACATATTAGTTCTACAATTTGTTGAGACAAATGTAGGGTGAAGCTATCTGGTTGTTAAATATTGTAATCAAGTTGGGTGAAAGCAGCATAACTGATCATTAGAAAGAAGGGCAGAAAGGAGTGCAGGGACCAACTAAAGATCAATTTTTAACTCCATTAGTTCAACTTTTTATAAACCAAACCATGTCTTGAAAGTTCAATCATCAAGAACATATGGGTAAATATGCCAGTCAAATATTGAAATAAATTTAACATAGTTTTTGATCTGTCATGACTAGAATAAAATTATAAAAATGATACAATGATACTGGCAGAGAATTTAGCATGACTGGAAAAGGAAAATGTTGAAGTGCAAATATTCATTTTAAGCATTTTTAGCTTATGAAGCACTTCCTGGACCATAGTGGCCTTTTTAATGAGTCAATGTTTCAGTCTTGTTATAAAATAACTGAATTTGTCTCCAGTCAATCAGTTCTGCAAGTCATGGTAACACTGATTTGCTTATTTTAATGACAGATAAAAAATGCCTTTAGCTTCATTGGAAGCATGTCAAACACATTACTTGATTAAAATGTAAAATCTGACATGACTACATTGTCACACAAATAACAAATTGAAAGCAGAAGTTAAGCTAGTCAGTCAGATTTCACTTCTGCAATTCATACCTCTGAGATTCAATTATCGGAAGGCGGACAGCAATAAGCTCACAAAAAAGTTCAATGATCTCTTGAGCAGCCATCATATTTTCCTCTCGGATAATATGCTCAACCTGCAAAAGTTATCACATCATGAAAAGATCTACAAACCAGACTAGTAAAAGTAACAAAGAAAATAGTAAAATAGAAATAAGGAAGGGAAAAAATTTCGGCCCTAGCACGGGTTCAAAATTCTAAAACCACTGGAAAAACAGAGAGACCAGACAATTTTTCATGCAAGTTACCCTAATGCGAGCAGTAGCTTCTTGGCCAGTCTCAAGTAGTTTAGCAATGTCACGGCGCATCTGCTTTAACTGGATCTCTCTTCTGTTTCTTAGCAACTTTATGCGGGGAATTGTCAACTTCAGAAGGGTTTTGCTGAAAGTGCAAATTAGAAAAATGAAGTCCCTTACTAGGAAACTAAGAGAGAAAAATAAAATAACAGAGCTAATCCAGATAATCTAGCAAAAGACCAACAGTAAGGACTAACTAAAATTAAAAATAAATATCCTTCTCATCTATAAGCAATTGAACCAGGAAAAGGGGCCATCTGAAAGAAAGGATGCAGTGAAAATCTAGAGACCAACAGCGGCCGATTCATAAACAAAAACGGGACAATAGAATAAGTCAAGTTGAATTTACCTAACACAGCTCATTTTGGCTAACTAAAGGGAAGAAACCAATTCACCATTTGCTGCTTTTACCCAAGCCAAATTGCACAGAATAATTGAAGACTTTCTCATTAAAAAAAAAATAAAGAGAAAGAAATAGCACATAGCTAAATCAGCTAACACCAGGACAATCACATAAATGATCACTGAAAGATGTTGTCAATGAACTATTACCATTTGGAGCCTTTGAAGCCCTTGGTGAAGAAGGAATCGAGCATCGACATGGTGCTATTCTCGATCAGACTCAATCACTGAACAAAGTACAAACAAAAGAAAAACAGAAACTAAGATCGAAAACCACAGCGAGTGAGCAATATCGAAGACAGTTTACAAATTTGTAGTTCCGATTTTTTTTTTTTTTGGGGGGGGGGGGAATTGATCGAAGAAGGTGAAGGAAAATTGAGAAAGGCCTAAAGTAATTTCAAGCGAACGATGACTAAAAGAGAGAGAAGCGTTGTAACCAAAACCTTTGAATGTTCCTTAACTAGCAAGGATTCTGAAGGATCTGTGAAACCGAAGTTCATATCGTAGATTTCCTTTTTTACGTTTTTAATTTTCCTTTTTTATTAATTTAATTGATCTTCGCCCGCGTCGGTTCTGCGTGATGATAAGCGCGGAGATTATGGGGTGGAATGAGATTTTTTTTTTTTTTTTTTTACGGTCAAGAAATTTTATTGTCAAAAGCATCCACTTTCCTATAAAACAACTTAGTCAAAAATTAAAGGAAAGAATATCTCAAAAAAAAAAAAAGAGAGAGAGAGATTGTGTGCTCTCAGAACCTGTTATTCCTCTCACTTCGCTGGACAATTAAGGGATGACATTTTAAGTTCCAATGAAGTTATTTTATTTAGGTAAGGTGCTAACAAATTTTAAAATATAAAGTATGTTGTTTAGATTTTTAATTGCTATTTTTATATAATAAAATATGTTTAGATCAATAAAAAAGGGAGAAAGAGTTGTAAACTTGCGTGTTAAAATTACAAATTTTCTTTTAAATTTTAATCATTAAGATTTCCTTTCATATTAAAACTGATAAAACAAGCTGCAAATTTAATGAGTAAAATTATAAATTTAGGAAAAAAATTACAAATTCTTGAAAGTATTCAGATAATAACATATTTTACTTTTTAAATTTAATAATTAATATATGTATTTCATATTAAATTACAAAAATGAGTCACAAATTCAAATGGACAAAATCGTAAATTTAAGAGATAAAATTATAAAAAATAAAATCAAAATGCTACTTAAAGATCAATGAAATTTCTTTATATTCAAGAATTTATTGGGATTTCAGTTGAATAAAATGAATTCCTTAATTTGAGAATTATATTTAAAATTTGAACATTTATCTACAATTAAAATTTTTGAATTTACATTTATTTAAAATAATATTTGTAATTCATTTTTAAAAAAAAATTTAAAACTTAACTTTTATTAGTTTAAAATTTTAAAATTTACTTATAAGTTTATAAAAAACAACTTTAAATTAAATCTATAAAAGAAAAACTTAATTATGTAGTTTTATACTCCCTCCGTTTAAAAAATATAAGATATTTTTAACTGAATCTCACCCTCAATAAAGTAATTACTTACTTTCAAACTAACTCTATCTTTTTATATTTACCCCTATTAAATATCCTACAATAAATATAAAGTCATTATTAATAGGGACACTTTTAAAAAAAAGATAATGATTATACTTTGAACAACTAAAAATACCTTACATTTCAAATGAAATCAATCAAATTAGCTTTATATACTTATAATTTGTATTTTCTCTTAAATTAATGCATGTTAATTCTTTATATATTATCTATTCTTTTCTCTTAGTGGCTATATGTTTCCTCTCATATTGATTTCATTTGAAATACCTTTAGAATTATTCTATAATAATTTTTTATTATTAATATTATCATATCAAATTAGTTGTTTTAATCTGATTGAATAAAAATATATTAATTAAGTATATAAAATTAAGTAATCAAGCCTTGTCTTAAAAAATATGTTAAATTTAGTGGGTCCTCTCTTCAATTACTATTAAGTGAGAGTGGATGGATCTTGAATGAAGGAAAAATAGGGGATCAATAATGGTTTTAGCCAAAAGACCAAAAGGTTGTGGCAATGGTGAAGAAAGGGATGGGAAATGGGATAATATTTTGCCGATTATGGATGCTAAGGGAGGGCTCCCATAGAGAGTGGAGATAAGAAAGGAGAAAGTAAACATTATGGATGATGTGAATCTGCTACAGGAAGGTCCAACGATAATGTTTTTTGTGAAGCTTGGTGGTTGTCTTGCAACCACCCAAAGGCCATGAGGTCTTTGTCTTGTTAAGGCCAGGGATGGTGGGCTTTTGGTTGAGCTTTTCTTCTGTTGGTTGCTCCTTTTTGCTTTGTTTAGGATTTTATTGTTTATTTTATTTTTGTATTGTGCTCTTTATGTGTCTCTCTATCTTTATTTTTGCCTTTACTTGTGGATCATTTTGTCTATGGCTTGGACTTGCTTAACTCTACTATGATCATCTTTTTTTTTTGGAAGTTAGTTTTATCTTTCAAGTCTCACTTTCCCCTATTCTTAGGGGGATTGTTTGAGATGCACTTTGTTATACAGCATTAGCGTCAAAGAAGTTGGGCTCGATTGAGCATGTCCTCAAACAATCACCTTCTACTTTCCATCTCTTATGATCATATTAGACAAGAGCTTTGTCTACCCTTAGATCTGCAAGGTTTTGACTTTGGCTATTTGTTTGGTTTAGGTGCTATGTTACTTTGGGGTTCTTTGTTGATTTTGTCCTAGTTTGATTTTCTTTTCTTGGCTTTAGTGATTGTATTTTGTTTCTTTCTAATGAAATCATGCTTCAGGTAAATAAATAAATAAACAAGTCAAACACAGGTGTTTTATTGGCTAGAAAATTTAGTTGTTTTAATTATTTTTAGAGAATTACACACAAGTTTTAGATTATTAATTATTTTTAGGTCTTTGTTATATTCCTAATTCCTAATCTCAATTGTTAATCAACCTAATAATAATTAATTATCTTAATGAGATCTCAAACTATTTCTCTTGATTCTTTTTAGGGAAAATCACAACTAATGACCCTTAGAGAAACATATTCATAGTTGAAGACCAATGAATTCTGATTTAACACTGCAATCCCTAGGGTCTTAACTGTAATTAATTTTGATTGTGAAAATACATAATTGACCTTAGTGTTTGAGTTGACACCCACACCCATCTTTTTGAACCTTACCCCACTCTTCACTTCTTCAGTCCCTTACACCCAGTTCAATCACCACACCAGAGAATATCGAAGACCTCATTTTATTGTTGTCCTCATCTTTAATAATAATAGGCACTAGCGAAGCTCCATCAGTCACTATCAACAATCCAGGTTCCCTCTATTAATTCCATATCACCTTGCTATTATTGTCTTTTGTTTTCCTCTCTTTTCCTATTAAAATCTTATAATTATTTTCATTTACTGAATTTATTATCTTCAAAAGAAACTAATTTTTTTAAGGATCACAATGTTCCATATAAGGTCACCCGTACTTATCCACAATTAATACTACAAAATCAAGGTAATAATGGAAATAATCTAAATGAATTATCAAATTTGTACAATTTTTATAAATGGGATCCCAAATTTTTAAAACTTAAAATGATATAAATCATTTCATAAACTAAAATTAGAGCAAAACATGTATGTAGAAGCATGGACATCATACAAGATAAGATGAAATCAAACTAGGGTCAAAATAGCAAAAAATTAATTCTAGCACAATTACGTTGCAGCATAAAATTTTATGCTATAGCATAAACAGCAGAATCTGTGACAGCAACAAGTTGTCACGGAAAATTTTCTGGCCAAATTTTCGATGCTCACCAAATCTCCATCTGACGTCCGATTGAGGTGACCTAGGTGTCTATAGAAAGCTTTCTCCAAGCCTTAACTAATGACACTAGTTTCACATTCAAATCATTTCTCAATCAAAAGTTGGACACTAAAAGGCAAACTCATACTTTTATACTTTCAAAACATAACTAAGGTGTCTAAAACTCAATCCAAGTGCCAAAAGCCCACACCAACCCTTAGACCATACCCAATAGACTTAGGACAACCTATATAACATACCACAACAACCAGTTATCACATATTTTACAAATTCAACTCTCAACCTTTTGATTTAAGAAATAATAAGGGGAGGCATTTTGACTTCAAAGCTCAATATAATCCAATACAACCATCCACATAGTTAAATTTATATTTGCATTAGTATTTTAACCTTACTCTTATATCTCAACTAAAAAGATACCACATACACTAGGTCCAAAATACACCTTTCAGTACTCAATATTTAATAGTGCAAGTAATAACAAAATATAATCATCCTAGTTGACAATATCAATTAATTACACACATGCAACTAAAATTACAAGAGGCTTACAATAGGAAACTGAGTTTCCAAGCCTCTGGTGCTTTCCCTTTGTCCTTCTCAAAACTAGTGCCTGTAAAATGTTAAATAGAGGGGTGAGTACAACCACTCAATAACCAAGATCCACCTAATCTATACAGTTGCATATTAATTAAAAATAGATGCAATTAGTAATAAACACACACATAAAGCATGTGTGATAATGTATAGCCTCGGCCACAATAATAACAACCATGTGACTGAGCTTCAAACACATAATCACATTTATATCAATAATGCGCAACTTGGGGTCGCAATAATACCAACCATGCACCCCCAAACTGCACCAAACCACAATGCTAACAACTATGTGGTCGAGACTAAATACATGATCATATACCAACCTTATACCCTCCTAATTACCTCCAACATGAAATCGGTAGGTATTTGGTGGCTATATCCTTCACGAACTAACCCAGCTTTCCACTTGTAAGGAGCTATCAGGTCAGGATCAATTTACTCACTTGTGTAATTAAGTTTTCCCTAATACTAATAACCATGGGATGTCATACCCTTAATATAACCTCTTTGTGAATCGATGGAGACTACTTAGATTCGGGTCCCTCATAGAACAAGTGGAATAGCCTCAAATCAATCATGGGACAAGGGCCATTTCTCGATTTCAATGATTAGTGCCAAGGCAAGCTCCCGATTCTAATGGTCACTGTCAATACCACATGGATTTATGAATCTACTCATCTCTCTAGACGAACTCTCGCCAATGATCATTCTATGCACGTATGCCACATATTCATGCATCTCAATCACCAATCACATAACATGGATTCACATATCCATACTAACATTATCCACTCCAAATACCAAATACCATATAACAAATAGTATATACTCACATAATCTCAATCATTATCATTATTTATATGTAAGTGAACATAACACTTTAACAAGATCATCTTTTCAAATATGCCAATTTTGCATCAAGGGTTTAAAATAGCAAGCATGTTTCAAATCATTCATTTCAATAAGAATCTATTAATATTTAACTGCATAAACCAAGTTCCCTCGATTTATTTAAACCTTTGAGAGGTTAAAAGTTATCCCTCAATTACAACTTGCTTGTCGAGCTAAATTCATGCTTACTAGTACTTCATAAGGTT